AAGCTACTTCTAATTCATTAAAGATAAAGTTTAAATTCCAAAAATCTGTAGGTGGCTTATGATCTGCAGGAGATACACTTCGGATATCAGTTTACATTTCAATTTATTGTTGCTTCATTTAATCAAGTCTTCCACACCTTAGCTTACCTCATTCTTAGGTAGAAGGTGTCAGACAGGCGTTGTCAAAAGCCATGGTTTACTTAGGGGATAGAGTGTCCATGTTCTTCTGAGCTTTGGTCCTCACATGTTTTGATTCCATCAGTCCAACTGCAGCCTCCCTTCAACAATTAATGCTATTCCTGGAGAAATCTACAAGCCAAGAATATTCCTCCCATCTCTTTTTCTAAACCCACCCTTTATCATTTCTAATGTATTGTGTTCAAGACAAAACACAGTAAACCCCAGGTTTATATTCAGCAAACTAGATCACCTTCTTGATTTTACAACTGGTAGGAAAGGAAGATATTATCCTTGAATATTAAGAATACTCCTGGCTCTTTGAAACAGTAAGTCCCAGGACCAGCAGTTGGCATACTGGCTATTTCGCTAGACTCCCACATAGTTGACCATAGTTGGAGTCCCGGACCCGGTGGCTTAAACTCACACCAGGCACGTGTGTGTGTGTGTGTGTGTGTGTGTGTGTGTGTGTGCCCAAGATCCTGAGAGGAGAATGAAGGAGAAGGGACTGCAGCATGGCCACCACCGCTGGTGGGTGGTGATTTCTCTCTTTCTGTCTCTCTGTCTCTCCTCTCCAGAAAAAGAGTAAGTCCCATGTTTCAGAGTTCCAGTCAAAATTATATGGGTAACACTGGCAAGTGACAACTCTGTCTTGGGACAGTTTAGTGACATACTTTACACATGAGTACCAGATCTTTACCTAGGAGGTCTGATAACATTACTCAGCCCAAAGGTCCACACTACAGGATAACATGTAGCTTTTCTGACAATATCATAGACCAATATGTAAAACTTTCCAGGAACATATTATATATTTCAAAATAGCTCAAAGAAATTTTGAATGTTCTCACCACAAAGAGATGATAAACAATTAAATTGATTAATGTACTAATTACCCTGGTTTGTTTTTTACAAAATGTAAACATGTACAAAACATTACATGTTATCCTGTAAATATGTACAAGTATTTTTCAATTAACAGTAAAAACAAACAGACTTCGTGCTGTGCTGTATTTGTAGCAACATGATCTTATGGCCTCAGGCTCTTCTTGAGTCCCTCTATGTCAATTTATGAGAAGAGGACATGCATAAGTATAGGTAGCCCAGATCTTTATCCTCCAGGAGGTATATCTTCTGCCTCCTAATAGTTGAATTAGACTATATTAAGGTGTTTTATTCAGAAACCCAGAGTTTCCTGAAAATCAAAGTAGATGAAAGTTATCCTTCCCTAAGAGATTCCATGGAGGTCATCAAAAAACAGAAGAAGAAAAACCTGAAGTAGCATATTGTGGCTAACTGGATTTGCCACTCATAATGCAGAGAACTCAGAAAATGCTCTGCAATCTCCTTCTTTCCAAAATTCTTACCTTTACCTTAGAACTTTACCATACTTGTGAAGATAATAACTTGAAAGAATGAGGAACTGAGGCAGGAGCCCTCCCGTTCCATCTCTTGCCCACTGGCCAGCAAGGGAAACTGAGGCAGGGGAACCACTGCCCCTGCCCATTTCCAGGCTCCTAAGACCAGGACCCCACCCCCTTTAGAGGTAGGCAGGATTTTTTTTCTCTCTCTCTCGTTATCCTTCCCTAAGAGATTTCCATGGAGGTCATCAAAAAACAGAAGAAGAAAAACCTGAAGTAGCATATTGTGGCTAACTGGATTTGCCACTCATAATGCAGAGAACTCAGAAAATGCTCTGCAATCTCCTTCTTTCCAAAATTCTTACCTTTACCTTAGAACTTTACCATACTTGTGAAGATAATAACTTGAAAGAATGAGGAACTGAGGCAGGAGCCCTCCCATTCCATCTCTTGCCCACTGGCCAGCAAGGGAAACTGAGGCAGGGGAACCACTGCCCCTGCCCATTTCCAGGCTCCTAAGACCAGGACCCCACCCCCTTTAGAGGTAGGCAGGATTTTTTTTCTCTCTCTCTCTTTTCTCTTCCTTTTAGTTTTGTTAATTCCCTCCTCTCCCTTCTACCACAGACTGGCCCTTGCTCTATCACACGACGTGTGACTTTTTCTTTAATGTCCTTTATACTCTTCTTTCCTCCTACATTATCCTCTCTGCCTCAACCTCCACCCTTCCAGAGGGATTAGACAGATCCAGAATCACATCCCCTAGTATTGTATGGTTCCCTGGGATCCTCCTCTGTACTGAACCACCTGTGAATATGTAGATAGTACTCTTCAGACACTTGAATAGAGTACCCCTCTTAAGACCACATTGCTAAAAACAACAGAAGAGAGACTTCCACACACATCAATTCACAGCAAAAGGGAAACACACTTACTCCTAGTTGAAGAAATGTTCTCCTAAGCGCTATTCAAAAGTGAACACATCTTCCAATGGCTAGAAGTAGAAGAGCCGTAGGTCTGAATAAGCCAGGAAATATGTCTCCATCAAAGGAACAGAGTAACTCCCCTCCATCTCTCCTAAAATCTGAGGATATTACCAAAATGTCAGAGAAAGAATTAAGAACCTTCATGGTGAGTAAATTCTATGAGTTGAAACAGAAAAGAGACAACGAATTTCAGGAGATTAGGAAGTCCTTCCACGATATGAAAGAAGAAATGGACACTCTGAGAAAGAATCAGATGTCTCGGGGACCAGCAATTAGCATAATGGCTAAGTCTCTGGACTCTCATGTAGTCAACCGTGGTTCAAGTCCCAGATCCGGTGGCTTAAACTCACGCCGGGCGCATGTGCGTGCGTGTCCAAGATCCCAAGAGGAGAATGGAGGAGAAGGTATTGCGGTGTGGCCATCCCCTCTGGGGGGTGATTTCTCACTTTCTATCTTTCTGTCTCTCTCTGTCTATCTGGCGGGCACACACGCCATATAGCAAAAACCTCTCAAAAAAAAAAAAAAAGGAAAAAAAATAGAAAGAATCAGATGTTTCTGTCCAATGAGTGCATGCATCTTATGGAAAAAAAATCTAAAAACACTCTCTAAAGATGACATACGAATAGTCAAAAGGCATATGAAAAAATGCTCAACATCCTTCATCGTAAGGGAAATGCAAATCAAAACAACGAGATACCACCGAACCCCAGTCAGAATACCTAAGATTAAAAAACAAAAAGTGATAAGTGTTGGCAGGGATGTAGTGAAAGGGGAACTCTTTTACACTGCTGGTGGGGATGTAAATTGGTCCAGCCATTGTGGAGAACAATTTGGAGATTCCTCAAAAATCTACAAATAGAACTGCCATATGATCCAGCAATCCCACTCCTTGGTATCTACTCAAAGGACAGAAGAATTTTTCATTGGAAAACTGCTTGTACATTGATGTTTATTGCAGCACTATTTATGACTGCTAAGACATGGAACCAACCCAAATGCCCCTGTATGGATGAATGGATTGAAAAACTGTGGCAGGTATACTCTATGGAATACTATTTGGCAAAAAAAATAAAATAAAAATAAAAACCTGGCTTTTGACAGAAAGTCAAGAATATGGAAGATTTACTGCTGAGTGAAGGAAGTCAGGCTATGAAAGAGAGACATTGTATGTCCCCACTTAATATATACCAAATGTCTGCACTCCATGACTGACTGATTGACTAAAGGTTGTACAAACACAAGAGATGGGTGTGAATGCCAGATGTGGTGTGTGTGGAGGAGTGGGGCCTAGGGAAGAACATTTGGAGGAGGAATACGGAGGCAGAGCATCGACGGGATGGGGAGGTGTGTGGTATTATCTGTTGAAGATATTTTGATCAACTGAACTGGGGAGAATTGTTCACTTATTGAAATGTTCACTTTGTAAGCTAAATAATGTGATTGAATTTATAAAAAAGTTTTAAAAAATAAAGGAAAAAAAATTTAAAAAAGAACGAGGAACTGGGACCAGCAGTTAGTGTAAATACATACAGAGACATACACAATCTTGGGGAAGAAGGAATGCAAGTCCAACCCTGACCTCACGTTGACAGGAGGGACCACATATGCTAGCCTTTCCTTTAACTGTTGCTGAAGATGTTTAAATACCCCAGTCAATATGCAGCGTGAGGCACTAGTGCACTTGTCCCTTTTGTTCACCTCTGAGAACAGACAAAAGGAGAAAGGAAGATTTTTTTTTAATAAGAACACAGTAAATGATGAAAAGATGTCAAAGAAGGAATGAAGTAAGACATCACTTGATCTGACATTAAATTTGAGACATTTATTGAGGAATATCACAGTCAGGCACAATCACCTATATAAGTTGTGGGGTCAGTACAAAATAAAAACACAATGTCTCATTCAAAACATTATTGAGAAGTTTGAAATGATAAAAGTAGAGCATTGAACCTGGTATAGGTCTCTTCAAATCATGAGACCATGTGTGCTTGCACAGGTCACTGCCTCTGAATCTGGTCCTGAAATAAAATAAGGCTTTTGGTCAAGAGGACAGATACAGGCCAGCAGGTGGAAGGGTGGTGAAGGTGCTGGGCTCCCACATGGCCGACTACATTTCGAGTCTCAAACCTGGCAGCTTGAAACTCACATCAGGCCTGTGTGCATGTGTGGCCAGAATCCCAGAAGGAGAGTAGAGAAGAAGGGATTACAGCATGACCATCCCCTTTGGGGGAGTAATTTCTTCCTTTCTGTCTCTCTGTCTCTATTTCTTCCTTTCTCTCTCTCTCTCTCTTTGTTATAGAGTGCATGCACCCTATAGCACAAATATCTAAAAAAATAAAATAAAATAAAATAAAAAAGATACAGATACAAACACCTAAATCCTGCTTTAAAGCAAATTAGAGAAAATGACAACCACCTAAATAACTATAGTTCAGAGTAGGAAGTCATGAGTGTGTTTACAATCATTACAATTTGGGGAGTATAAGAGAGCTTTCAATCAGGCAATTCAGGAAAACATCTATGAGAAAGAGACATCTGAGTTACAATTTGAAGAACTAGTAGCAATGAATGTGTGACCAAAGCAGAGAAAACATTACTAAAGATGGAAAAACAGACTTTCAAGGGAATCAATACATTTGCTAGAACTAGCCGTCTTAATAAAATCATACTATCTTGATTAGGATGACCATGTTTAAGAAACAGATAAGGATTTCATATTTAAGGTAAAACTAATGTCACCAGAGTTGGTGTAATCTCATTTTCCACTTCTTCAAGAATCTGTTTTCGATCCCCGACTCTTGTGCCAAGCAGAGAGGCCCTGATTTCTTGGGGCCCTGGGTGTTGGTCCCTGTGGGGAAGGCAGGATCGGGTACATGAAGACAAAGGATGTTTCCATTTGAACTGTGGGAAGAGAAGAGGATCATTATCTTAAAGATCAGAAATCAGATAGAAAGGAGGAAGGAAAAAAGGTAGAGGAAAGAACGATGAGTCCTCAGAGGCTGAAGAAACAAAGAACAAGAAGTGTCTCACCTCTGATATTTAAACCCTGAGTCAACTGCAATCAGCATGACTAGAGTAACCATTACAGTCAAACAGATCAGTATCAGGAGGATGGAGTGTCCACCTAGTTGGGATAGAATAAAGATGTTGATCCACACAGTATACTCTGTTTCACCAATTAAGGCTTCTCATTTCAGAAGGGAGATACATTTTCAGATTCTCGGCTGTATTTTCTAGAGTCTTTATTTCAATTCCTTCGGTTTCTATGTCTGTTTCTATGTCTGAAATCTCTCTTTAATGGGAAGTCATAGATTCTTTCCTTCTTTTCTCTTTAGTACCTCTAATTCTCAACCTTATTTTTCTTTAAATGTAACTGCTATCATCCTCTTTTTTTTTTATTTTGATTCTCCTACTGTTACCCTTTTCTGCCTAGAATTTTTACCCATTTCCTTAGCTCCTCATTCCAAAGCCTGAAGACTATCTTCCATCATTTCCCAGTTACACCTCAGTCCTTTCTCACCCCAGTGGATGATGATATCATGTCCTCCTAGACTGCTGTGCTTCACCCGGCAAGAAAGGCCAGCCGCCTCCCCAGCTGCCACATCCACTGTGACTCGGAGATACCAAGTCCGATCAGCATTGG